AGCATAGGCAAGAAATGTGCCTCACACTTCCTTTCTATGCAGCAACCGAGACGTTTGAGAAGGTGGGGTCAGTTGGCGTGGCAGCAAATCTCACGGTCTATCTTGTCAACCGCTACAACATTGGGCGGCTCGCGGCAGCAAACATCACCAACATTTTCTACGGTACGCTGAACTTTGCGCCGTTACTAGGCGCCTTCATCTCCGACGCCTACTTGGGAAGGTTCAGAACCCTGGCCTACGGATCCTTCTTTAGCCTCCTGGTATGTCCACGGTCAAAGTTCTTTTAGTCGTCTTGTTTCGCCTGCTTGTATTGACAAAAGGAAATGTGAGATAAGTGTCATTGCCAAAATAAGTCTAACAAATGAATGAAATAACCAGCATTATGCTTTTAAAAAAACAGCATTATTGATTGATTAATATGAGAAATAGCATGTGCAACGAACCACAGGCAATGGCTAACATTTTATCTGCTTATTATCGCAACGAAACTTGATGTCTCAGCAAATGGCATTTATTTACCGGGTTAGCTGTTCTAAGGAATTACTGTCACGAACTAGAAAAATGTGAACTATACTGAATTTCCTACAATATGTTCGCAGATGTCAGCAACTAATAGATTTTTGCATTGCTCACAGTCTAATCTGCGTACTTATTTGCTGCAAAAACAGGGGATGCTGGGATTGACTTTGTCTGCATCAGTTCCAGCTCTCAAACCACCAGACTGCAGTCAGACAGCCCAATTAGGTGGGCACTGCAACAGTCCATCAACACTCCAGCTGAGCGTGCTATACATATCTCTAGCGTTTCTAACCATCGGCGGTGGAGCAATCCGACCATGCAGCTTGCCCTTTGGAGTAGACCAATTCGATATGACTGATGAAAAAAGCCGAAAGGGCCTGAATAGCTATTATAACTGGTATTATGGCACAACTACTGCTGCCCTGGTGTTCTCCATGACTATTCTCATCTACATCCAGAATAGCATCAGCTGGCCAATAGGATTTGGCATTCCCACATTCTTCATGCTTTTTTCAATCATCATTTTATTCATGGGCACTAGACGTTATGTCCATGTACCACCAGAGGGAAGCATCTTCACTGGAATTGCCCAAGTTTTAGTGGCATCATTTAAAAAGAGAAGACTCAAGCTTCCGCATCCTGACAATATAAATCAACAAGAGTTGCTGCTCTTCAGTCCTCCGATAGGTGGCCACCGTATTTTCAGATTGCCACTTACTTCCCAGTTCAGGTAAAATAAAGAACTAGCCACGATGGAAGTGTCACAACACAGACAAAAAATACCATTTGATAGCGTCCCATTCCCAAAAGTATCGTGTTTTTTTCCAAGAAAACTATCCCAATTAGCTTGCAAAAGTGTTCTATAGGTTTAACATCCATGTAACTTGCTAAAACATGCAGACATTCATGTGCTGGTAAATGTAAGTCATTTTTCTGCAAGTAAGTGAGCAAAACGTCCTGCACTCCTCAACAAAGTGAAATAAAAAGATAAAGAACATGCTAGGCAGATCAAAAAAAAAAATACTAATCATTTCAAACAATTATGTGCTAGATGCTAATGTATATCCACCTTTTATTGTCATTTGTACTCAGGTGTCTGAACAAAGGTGCGATTGTAAGGGATGGTGATATAAATGATGACGGTTCTGCAAGAAACTCATGGGAGCTTTGCAGTATCCAGCAAATAGAAGAGGTTAAATGTTTGTTAAGAATTGTGCCTATCTGTATATCTGGCATCATATGCTTCGTCGCGTTGGCTCAACAATTCACATATATAATCTTGCAAACATTAACAATGGACTGTCACCTTGGAACACATTTTGAAATCCCTGCAGGCTCTGTTATATCCATATCCTTAATCGCCCTAACTGCATTCCTGCCGATTTATGACCGAATATTGGTACCTATAGCTAGAAGATTCACCGGAGTGGAAAGTGGAATTACACTTCTTCAGAGACAGGGTATAGGATTGGTGATTTCTCCCATTTCAATGGTGGTAGCAGGGCTTGTTGAACACAAAAGGAGAAACTCAGCATTGTCTAATGGAGGAAAATCACCTATGTCAGTCTTGTGGCTTGCCCCCCAATTGATTCTAATGGGTATTGCTGAGGCCTTCAATGCAGTTGGACAAATAGAATTCTATAATAAGCAGTTTCCAGAGCAGATGCTAACCCTAGCAGGATCCCTCTTTTTCGTTACGTTAGCTGGAGCAAACTACTTGAGTACTGCTCTGGCAAACATTACAAGGAAAGTGACTACCAGAGATGGCCACACAAGCTGGTTGACAGATGACATTAATCTTGGCAAGCTTGATTATTACTTCTATTTCATTGCCCTCATAGGAGTACTGAACCTTTTCTACTTCCTTATATGCTCACACTACTATCAATATAAATCCATGTCACTCCATGCTGAAGAGTCCATCAAAGTACACACCAAGGAAGAGGCAGAAGCAGAGGTCAACGCCAATACAGATGCGCCTAAAAAATAAGTATTGGGAGGGAAATTTGTCCTGCAGAGAGTATATACTTGGAAAATTGTCAACAGACTTTCCTGTTTTGCAATATGGCACAGGACTTTATTATCTTTTTTAATGTGATGAAGAACTAATGTAGCGTAGTTTAGCCAGATGTATGACTGTTATCCAAAGAGCATCAATGAAGAGCTAAAAGGTCTATTCTATTCCAATTTGATGAAGTGTGAGTTTCTGGATCATAATGATGCCAGCGATATTTTTGTGGAACTTAATTAAGTCAGTAGTGTGTCTGCAGCAAGTACACACAGGCCGTACTTGCTAGTACAGCCTTTTGTGCATATAATATTTATTTATTTTTAAATGCATTCACATAATGTTTAGATTATTTACGGATCATTTGAGGATTGGACTAGGGCTCCCAAAACTAATGGCAACTAAGCAGTTAGATTAAACCAATCACGCCCTTGTGGACTGTGCCTCCACTAATAGGTGTTCAACATGTGAAGAAACTAACAAGTTAAATAACCTTTTCGTTATACTTTCAGGTGAAGTTCAAACATCCCCGCAAAAAAAAAGGCGAAGTTCAAACAGTACGGACATAGGGTCATCCTTCAATGAACTGCCTCAAACAACTGTTTCCAAAAAAAAAAACCTTAGATTTGTTTTATCTGAATTTGGGTAGAATGTTAAGGATATGCACAATAGCATATTCAAACGAGTATAGAAATCAAATCCCAGCAATGTTTCTGTATATGAGTTTACAGTAGCCAAAAAAATATCATATTTTAGGGAACGGATATGACAAAAATTTACCCACCGTGGGAAGACGTGGAACAATAACTGGACCACCACGAACTTTGTCAAGAGCAAAACTTATTCGTAATGCCCGCCCCAGCATTACCTGTAGAATTTAAAAAAATCCAGGTCATTTGTTTGATCCTTCTATGAATTGAATATCTAGCAATAGCAGTTTGTAAGGCAACTCTCTTCATAAAGAACCTTTCCATCCATAGCGTCCTTGGCATACTTAGCCTCATAATGATTTGAGAACTGGACAAAACCAAAGCCTCTTGACCTTCCAGAGTTTTTGTCATACATTATTCTCACTGCAACACGAAATAGTATCCATATAACTTCACTGTATTAAGATAAGTTTAACACATGTAAAAACAGCATTAGGTATTAATTTTCTGGGATGAATAGAACAAATGATACTGCAGTTCCATATGGCCACAAAATCTAATACCAGGCAAACAATGATATAACTCAGTCAGCTAGTTCCACAGTATATGCACATTGACATGTTATTACTCAGACTCAGAGTATGCCCCTGTGTTAGGTCAATCAATAACCACATGCCACGGACAAACTTGCTCAAAATAGAAATGATGGACACTGACAGAAACCCAGGCGCATGAACCAGACTACATGCAGGTACAGAGTAATGTACACTTGTTGGGGGCCACTGCAGACTAGCTATCTATGACATAAAACTAATCAAGTATATGGCTACCTCTTAGAGTCTTAGTATCAACACATCAGAAGTATAGGATCTGTCGGTACTGCAAGAGCAATATGCATGAATTATATCGCCTTTTAGGAAGAAAGGACGCAACTAGATTCATGAACACCCAATTCAGAAGTAATAACTCAAAATCAGCTGATACATAGGGACTGTCAAAAGAAATTGCAAGTAGCAACAGAAATACTTGGATCCAGTTAACCTGATCAATGGATGCAGATATAAAAATATGAATTATCAAATATTTCAAGCAAATCCAACTTATGCATTTTTGAATTGTCTAGGAGCTAATTGTTTGTTCATGAATTACATAATGAAGTGCACCCAACCATCTTACTCAAAAGTAATTAGATACTACGCACAGCACACAGCTGGTAGTTGCAGCTTCCTCTACCAACATATATATTACTGTGAATGTACATTGTTGTCTTGTTGATGTTGCTGCTATTCACTCTCCTTTTCTTTGGAGTTGTTGCAATCAGCACACGTGTTTTCAGGACCAGCTCCAGAGTGATTGATACAGATGCCAATCAAGCCAACCAGAGGTTAGTAAGATTGGGACTCCAAGTTCTAACCAGATATATTCCAACCCATATGTAAAGGAAAATGGCCATAAACAAAAGAAAGTAATGAAAATTTGAGGTGTGCTTAACAACTCTTCTAAGTGGTCAGAATACCGTCTGACGAACTCCACATTCATGTGTCAAAAGGCTGAGCCGACTGTTAGTCACAAGACTTAAGACCCAATGGCCAAGGGTCCGAGGCAATCCACTATTGCACCTGAGCCTTTTGAAACCTAATGCTGATGCTCATCCATTGTTCACACTTCACAGTAGACTAACCATTTGACAAAGTAAAATTCAAACGTTAATGCCTAAAATAGATTCCAATAGCTTGAGACTGGTGGTCCTTGTGTGATATATCCTTACCCTTCCCAGGGAAGTACTCTTCAGCTACCTTGTGATGGATCATGGATGGCATGGCCTAAATTGAACTAAGCCCCAGAGTTTTCTTTGCGATCTGTTTTGTATAACAGGATCTGACAGATTCAGCAGCACTGAATTTCCCAAGTGATGCATAAGTGTTAGAAAGTAACAACACGTGTCCATAATCAAATGATTCCACTGTAAGCACCTTCTCCGCAGCAACATTAGTGAACTTCATGTCACTGTGCAAATGACCCCCTCCCATAAGGGCTTTCCAAGCATTTAGTCCCAATTTATTGTCAGTCAAGCTAGCCACTCCTGCTGCTTCGTCCAAGCGGCCAGCTCTTGCTAACATATCCACTATGCATCCAATGTGCTCCTGACATGGATTTATGCCCTTATCGTTTATCATTCTTCTAAAGATGATCAACCCATCATCCACCAGGCCAGAATGGCTGCATGCTAGCAATGTGTTCAAGTATGTTACACTGTCTCGGCCCTCGCTAGATTTCTCCATCTCATTAAAAAGTGTTATTGCTTCCTCTCCTTGGCCATTTATACCAAAGGATAATATCATAGTATTCCACGAGACAGTATCTCGACAAATCATCTCATCAAACAATTTTTGGGCTAGAGCCACATATCCACACTTACCATAAACTGCCATAAGGGTGTTAAGAACAGGTCTGTACAAAGACAAACCTGACTTGTAGCTATACCCATGAAGCTGAACACACAGGTCAAACTTAGCAATCACATAACAGGCAAGCAATAAGGTGACTAACGTTACATAATCAATCGCAAACAAGCCTCCATGCCTCATCTTAGCAAAGAGATCCAATCCTTCTAGCACATCTCCATTTTCTACACACGCCGCCACCATTGCAGTCCATGAGACCAAGCTCTTATCTCTTCTTCCATCAAACAACTTCTTTGCAGAGCTTAAATCCTTACATTTGGAATACATTGTGATTAAGGAATTCACTACAGGAAGCTCTCTACTAAACCCACGGATTACAATCTGGTTATGAACCAACTTTCCTCTGCTTCCATCACCCATAAGTGCACAAGCTTGCACCAAACCAACCATTGCTACCATGTCAGGAACTATACCATTTGACCTCATCTTGACAAACATATGTATAACTTCACCGGCATGCCCTTTCTCAAGAAGGAAACCCATCATCATCGTCCAACTAACAACATTGTTGACAGGAATCTTCCTGAAAATCTCTCTTCCAATCTCAAGACTAGCATAACCCAAGTACATGCCCAGTATCGAGTTTGTCACTGATACATCCAAATCAAGCCCCATCTTGACCGTGTAAGCATGTGCAGTCCCACACAGTCCAACATCACCACAACCAGCACAAGCTTGAGCAGTGCTTATCATAGTCACAACATTATCAATTGGCCCCAACGAATGAAGCAACCTTTTAAACACCAGAACTGCCTCCTCGAACAAATCATTATGCACTAACCCGGAGATCATCGCATTCCAGGTAACTATACCTGGATCCCTCATTTCACCAAACAAAGCACGTGCCTTGATGGGGCAGCCGCACTTCGCATATGAATCAAGCAACGCGGTTCGGACAAAAGGATTGGAGTCCAACCGAAGCTTGACAACCCACCCATGGATGCACTCGGTGAGCACCGCGTCACCCAGCCCGGCCGCGGCGAGCGATGCACCGACCAAGGTGAACGAGTTTGGGCACACTCCTGCCCTCACCATGCCGACAAACAGCCCAACGGCCTCGTCGAACGACCCGGCCCTCGCACTCCGGTAGATTGCCGCCGAGCAGGCGACGACGTCCCTAACAGGCATTCTGTCGAACAGTTCGCGAGGCTGGGCGGAACCGGGTCGTCCAGGAGGGCCTGGGAGCCGTTTCGTCGAGCACCTACCACGCGTACCATCTGAACCCGCCCAGCACCCACCACTCGAGAGGTTATATTGCTACCGACCAAATGAGAAATGGCTTTGGTTTGCATGTGGATTGGTCTTTTACCTTCGGTGACGGTGCCGAAGGAGGAGAAGGCGTCCGTCAGCGACCGCTCGTCCGCGGACCACGAGAGCCCTGTCCATGCTCGCAAGCAAACGAGGCAAACCGAGGTGAGTGACAATGGCCGATTGGGGAATAAGTAGACGGGGACAGGAGGGAGGAGTGTTACCGGCGACGAATAGCTTGTGCTTATTGGAGGCCGGCTGTGGCGGTGGGGCGGGATGGGGAGGGGGCGGCTCGTGGGGCAGAGGGGCCACGGCGGAGAGAGAGCGGCGCAGGTGATGGTGGAGAGGTGCGAGGCGCAGGCGCGAGAGCAGTTCCGGGAGCGCCATGCCGGCGGGGCCGGTGACGGGCGGACGGCTGGCCAACAGAACAGAGACGAGCACGGGGTACAATTCTACAGCAAGGCTGCAGGGGGGTATATCGGGGGGACTTCGAGTTGCCGAGTTGGGCTTGTTTTTTGGGCTTGACCAGTTTTTTTTTAGGATAACTGGGGTTTTATTCAAAGTTCAAAAACTGAGGAATACAAACGATGTCGTGCAAAACCCCTAGCCACACATGGCGACCCACCACAAGAGACGCAGCTCCTTTACCTAGCGAGTGGGCCTCGAAATTATTCTCCCTATGCTCGAAACGGAAAATAACAGCAGGAAAAAATTCTACTAAATTGAATCTCCCTAAGAATAGGAGCATAAGCCGGCGACCCTCCATTCTTGATGTTTGAGATCACTTTCTGACAGTCTGAAGCTATCTCCAAGTCCTGCAAATTTAGGTCCCGAGCGAGGGCTAGAGCCTCGCTGCAAGCTAGCGCCTCCAGGCTAGCTGGATCGATCAAGCCTTCATACACCACTGCTGAGGCTCCCAGATAGTTTTCGGCCTTGTTCCTACAAACCACTGCAGCAACTCCTCTTTCTCCCAAAGTGGAAATAGCGCCATCACAATTCAGCTTTGAAGCCTCACCCGACGGTGGTAGCCAAGCCCTAGCACGGGGCCGCTCCACTCGCCCCAACTCTCGACTTGGCGTTCTGACTGCTGCAATCTCTAGGTCTTCCAAATACCTCTTTATGAAACACATTGTTGTTAACGGACTCTGAAATTCATCTTCATGGATAGCCTTCCATCTAGCCCACCATATCGCTCACATGGTCACCAGAACGCGCGCAAGGTCGTGTTGGTTTGTGGTCTCGAAAAGCCAGAATAGCCATAGCCTAGCATCTTCGTTGTGGTTCGATATCACATGCTCAAGTAGTTCATCATCACCCAGAGCCCAAACGCACCTGGCCACTCAACAACTTACAAGTGAGTGTCTCCATGAGTCTTCCTCCGCATTACATATAGAACAGACAGGGTTGTCTGCCATCTTCCTCTTGTGTCGACCAGTCCCGTGGGAAGCGAGGTGTGCCCGAGCCGCCACATGAAAACGCGAATTTTGGATGGTACTTTTACTTTCCACAACTGTGTCCATGAACTCCTGTCAACTGCACCGTTGGAGTGTCTCGACCGGTGCTCGAGCCAATCTTTCCTCTGGGCCTTGATTGTCGTAATCATCCGGTACGCTGATCGGACTGAGAAAACACCACACCGGTCATAGTGCCAAGCCCAGAAGTCCTCCTGAACCCGATTGCTGATGGGTATGTTGAGGATCACTTCAATGTCCGGAGCAATAAACTGATCCATGAGGGTTTTCCTATCCCAAGAGCGGGTCATGGGATTAATGAGTTCCGACACCAACAAAGGTGGGTTAGCTGTTTTAGCACAGATCGGTCGTAGTTTGTAGTCCCTTGGTATCCAGTTGTCAAACCAGATCCTGGTAGTCGAACCTGAACCAATTCTTTTAATCAGCCCAAGAGACAAAACATCCCTCCCTTCCAAAAGCGAACGCCAGACCTAGGAGGGGGGCTGACCCAAAGTAGCTTCAAGGATGTTTGCATTAGGGTAATAGCGGGCTCTAAGGACCCGTGCGCTCAACGTCTCAGGTTCGTTTAATAATCTCCAGGCTTGGCGGGCAAGTAGAGCCAAGTTGAAAAGCTCGACATCCCGAAAGCCTAAACCTCCCATAAATTTTGGTTTAGTCATTGTATTTCATGACACCCAAGCTGTTTTCCTTTGTCCATTCCTACTTCCCCACCAAAACTTCCGAATTATGCCATTGATGTGTTCACAAAGCCCCCGTGGTAGTTTAAAGCACGCCATCGAATATGTAGGAATAGATTGAGCCACTGATTTTATTAGCACTTCTTTACCTCCCGCTGATAAGCACTTCTCCATCCACCCTTGGACACGCTTCCAAATTCTGTCCTTTAGATATCTGAAGGATCCTTCCTTATTCGGCTTGACCAGTTGGGTTTAAGAATGATGTTTTAGCCAAAGCTGGGCAAACGGGCTGGGATAGTCGGGCCGGCCCGGTAGGACACCCGCACGGCACGCCAGGGGCCGTGCCTGGGCCTGAAGTATGAGCACACAGGTCAGCACGACACGGCCCATTTATTTATTTAATTCTTATTTAGGATTTTTTTAAATATATATGGCTGAAAAATAGCCCAATAACAACCTAACAGGTCACCAGCCTAACAGGCCTGGCATGCCGCGGGCCGGCTCGCATAGCTTCTGGGTTGTACCTGGGCTGGAGGGGCCAACACGTAGGCCGGAAAGGCATGGCCCGGCTAATAATCGCGCCACACCTAGCCAAGCCGTGACAGGCACGATTATGATGGGTTGGGCCATCCTGTGCCGGGCCGGACCGATTACGATGGGTTGGGCCATGCCGGGCCGGGTCGGCCCGTTGGCCTACCCTGGTTTTAGCATCACCATCATGATATCGTAGTACTTACTAATGCTCTTTTTCGATTTTAACTTTCATGGGTTTTCTCTACATTGATTTTAGTTGTTTTAATTTTGTCACAAAAAATGTATGATAAGCGTATTTTTTGCTCACCGCGAATAGGAGGTTTGGTTTAAAATTTGCGTATTGTTTATTCATGGGTTACCTGAAAATTAAATCTCAAACACTTTTATAAAACATGTATGTTAACATCAACCATTACCATCATGGTCTTATGTTCATATATACACCATTTCTCCAAAAGCATAAGGTGCATATGCTTTGCAAACTTTATCTTTGATCCAAAATTTATTCAATAATAAGTGGACTACATGATACATAGTGAAAAAAGTATACAAATTGGATTTGTATTAAGAAGTATTTTTCGGTGGTATCAAATTTATCTAGGAAAACCATAGACTAATCATTCATCAAAAGCAAATCTTAGAGACATATGCGTCTTATATTCCAAAAAAGATGGAGTATAATTTGCATACCTTCAATTTCGAGGAGGGCTCCTCAACCGCCATAGTCAACTAGGTCTCTTTGTAGCCCTAGGCCTCGTCCTCTTTATAAGGCGAGGTCAAACTAGTTGATATGCAACCTTAACTCGTAGTAGGTTCACCCTAATACGGCATAAATGTATCTAGAATTTTTAATTGTTGTGTGTTGTTATTATATCAATTTTGTATAGTTTTTTCACCAATTATTTATTATTATTATTGCTATTAACTAACCTATTAACCAATGTCTAGTGTGTAAGGGCATATTTATCCTTAAGGTGTTTTGGTGATTGATGACAATGCTTGTGCGGACTAATCGTGTGCCTTGAGTTTCCAAGACGTTTCATCGCTAGGCACAAGACGGTTTGGTGTCCCTTGAAGACTATTGAAGACGGTATTTTTTCTACGTTTCTTTTTGGTGGATTTGAGTCGTAGGAAAGCCGTACTATTAAGAGGGGGTCCGCGTCAGAAAGGTTTGGGTGGAATCATCACGTACACGTTTTCTTCCTTGTCCCCTCCTTTCCCCTGCACTTTGGAGCATCCTCTGTTTATCCTCTTTACCTTGTCTTGGCTGCTATTGATGGGCTTGCGGTAGTACTACTCCTTCTTGAGCGGTAGTACCGCAGGCACCCGCGATAGTACCGTACTTCGGCGCGGTAGTACCGAGGTGCCCACGGTAGTACCGCTCCTCTGGAGCCGTAGTACCGTGGCCCCCAGGCCAAGTACCGCTTCTTCGCGGTAGTAGGGGCGGATGTAATTTTTTACATCCGCGCCACCGCGGTAGTACCGTGCACGGCCTGGCTCAGCTGCCAGGCGGTATTACCGCTCCTCTGCGGTAGTACTGTATCAGATTTTTGCTTCGTCCGTTTTCCAGTGGAAGTAGGCACGAATGTATTCTTATCCGCGCTCTTCCCAGGCTAGGGGTTTCCTGCCTTGCGGTAGTACTGCAAGGGGGAGCGTTAGTACCGCGCCTACGGCAGTACCGTCCTCAGCCCATGTGCTTCAGGTCTGCCCTAGCTATTGCTGCTGCTGCGGTAGTACCGCGGTTCCTCACAGTAGTACCGCATGGCCTTGCGGTAGTACCGCTTGTCAGGAGCGGAAGTACCGCATGGCCTTGCGGTTCACCCCGGGAATAAAAACCGAAGACCAAAGACCGAAACCGAAAAGACCGAGACCGAACCCGAAAAGACCGAAACCGAAAAGACCGAATAAAAAACGGTTTGCAGAATGCTAAGACCGAACTAAATATGGCCTGTTCGGTCGTGATGTATTGAGGACCGAACAACCCGTATAAACCGAATAGCCCAACTGTGCAAGATATTTGTTAACCTAAAGCCCATCTAGCAAGCCCATCTAGCTCCCGCCCTCACCTCACCTCTCAAAGACAGAGGCACAGGGGGACCCGAGGCACAGAGACGCCTGCCGCTTCACTCGCCTCCTCTTTTCTCCCCCTCGACGAACCCTAGCCGCCACCCGCCGGCCGCCGCTCTGGCCCGATGCCCCGTGAGCCATGAGACGTGACGACCGCCGCAACGAGGCGCACATCGCCTGCGCCTCCCCGACCGATGAAGAATGACACCCTAAGCCACGGCCCGGGCAGGGACAGGTGACGACCGGTGCCCCATGCGTGTCGCCATGCTGCTGTGCGATGGGCCGCCAACCCCGACCCTCCTGCTCGTTCTCCGTGGCACGTCCATCCACCGCCAGTGTAGCAGTTGGCTGCTGCTATTCGTCACCACCACACCACTCGTCCTCTTCCACACCGGTCGCCGGCTTGCCGTCTTCTGTCCTCTTCTGGTGCTCAACCTCGCAACTGAAGGTGAGCAAGCTACTACTTCTCCTTGTGTGCATCTGTGATGTACAGATTGTTGTTCATTTAAGTGCATCAATATATTGTTCATGTTCTATGATGTTCAGCTTTTGTGATGTTTAAATTCAAGTAGATGTAGTTGCTATTGGAATGCTCAATACCTTTAAAATGTTCTGATTTGGAGGACTTGATTATATG